GACTGTGACCTCTCACCCCGAGTTACGAAACGATGATGATTGGTGCTATATGCACGTTAAGTCATCAGATGCCAAAATTGAGCAATAAAAAGTGAACTGGAGTGGAGAATCACTTACTCCTTTTGTGCAGGTAGGCACACGCTGCGGTGTCCTCACCTTCAAGGGCTGACTCAGGACTTCAGTCAGTATATTTTATGTCCACTCAGAACGTCATCAGAGGCACAATTGCTTTAATCACCAGGTGTGATTAAAGTGCAGGAATGTGTGGAAGTGGGATGGATGCAGAGACAGACCTGAGCTTGTAAAGCAGTGCATGGATACACACACTGGAGAACAAAACTGAAACCAACATGTTTCAGATCTAAATGAGAGCTCTGTATTAACACGTGCATAGTCTGAATTTTTTAAATAATGAATAAACTTTAATAATATATAAAAATAAAAACAACAACATGTCAGAATTTCATATCCTTGGAGAAAAGTCTTGTGGATCGCAGCTGAGGTATTATTTAACGTGGTGTGGTGCTCGTAAACAGCAGCATCATACCTGCACTGCAGGACATATCAGATCAGAGTGTGTAGACTTCAGCAAGTCTCTTGTTTAGTCTTTGTTCAGCATTAGAGGCCCCAGCGATGTGAGATGGGACTTTATCTCTTGCTGAATTTCTTAATCCTTCAAACATTCAGCTGCTGCACATGAAAACAGATTATTTTTTTAAAAGTTGTACTCGTTCATCTCTAGACCAAAAGTCAGTACATGTACATTTCGTAGGGCTACACATGCTGAACTTTACACAGAGGGACAGTTTGTTCCAACTGTGCCAATGTACGTTGGGAGTGTATCTTGATTTTGAGTGAGACTGAAACTAAACATGTACCATTTCAATAAAGCCGCCGAGACAGGCTTGATTGGTAAACACAAGAACGCAGTATGGCTCAGAGGATGGTTATGGATTTGAGGATTTGTCCACCACTTTAGTCCAGACTGAAATATAACAACCACTGGATTGATTACCATAAAATATCGTTAGCCAGTTAAAACCACACATGCTTTGCATTAATGTTAGCTTTGACTTTGGATGTTAACGGACTTCCATTCTAAGCTAACGTTAGCTAGTGCCGCACACTGTTGGCGCTTTATCGAAGCAGAAAGCCGATTAATACATGTAAACCGCTTCACATTTTTACTGTTCATCTTGTGCCATCATCAGGTAAAATTTTCATTTTGCCCAAACTTTGGTTTATAACCAAATATCTGCAGAACTAATGACACTCCAATCAGCCTCGGGTATACTTTGTGTTTAGTGATTTGTAAAAAAAATAATAAAAAATGCTCATGCTAATACGCTAAACTAACTTGGTGTACCTGCTAAACTTTAGCATAACAATGTGTCTTGTTTAAGCTATATTCACATTGTTCAAACAATAACGATAATTATCGCTATATTATTTTCCTCAATAACAAAATAAAAAATGTTCAATAAATGTTTGATTTAATTAATTTGAATCAATCAATCAGTTTGGTTATTATTTAACACTCAGCTGCTGTTTTTAGCCACGCTAGCAGTGTGGCTCTACGGATGGTTATTTCACTTTTGTTGGTCGTTCCAACACTTTGATTAGTGTGCAGTGCAGTCTCTCGACAACAATGAAGCTTCTCAGCTGAAAAAACGCTGCACCTCCAAAGTGCACCCTAGCGCTCCCAGCTAGGCGTTTGCAGAAGAGCAGCTGGCGTTTTCAGCTGGACGCAGGCCCTAATGCTAATATTAGCATTTAGCTAGACTGTAACACTGACATTTTAAAAGGGTACACAGCTTGCTAACTGTATGCAGATTAGTGCACTAATTTTCTTATATTAGCATTCAAGTAGCTGCTAGTGGGGCAATATATGTTTAAAATCACAGAGTAAAAAATGCCAGTCCCATGTGTGGACAGGTGAAAGTTTCAAAAACACTAATAAATGATTTTACTTTACTTTTATTTTAGGTGGCAAGTAGCCACCTTTCTGTCACCTACAACTTTCATTTGGCTGATTACGCAACACAGGTATTCTCAGTGTCCTACTGTGTAATTAAGGAAATACTTAAGGAACAAACAAATGAAGAGAAAGGAAAAAAAGAGACATAAGTGTTGTTTGATAAGCTCATCTCATGTTGAATATAAAATGTTAGACCGCAAAGTTATTGCAGCTGTCAGTTGAGTAAATGGTGAAATATGTTCATCTTAAATGCTGTACAGGCATAATATAAGTTCTCACTATTTACAGACATAAAATAAATGTCTCAAAATTAAACTTAAGTACAGTACTCATAGTTAGACCTGCCTTCATACAAAGCAAATGCAGGTTGGTCTAACTGTTAATTGTGAAGTGATTCTGCAGCTCATTAGCTTCATTATTTCCCCAGTTTATCTGTCTGAGCTGTGTTTCCCATACTTCCTTATTGCTGCTGATAAGAGCCATCGTAAAGAGACGAACACAAGACGTTTGTGTCTGTGTGCAGGCATGTGAATGAGTCATGTACACAAGTATTTGCAAATGACAAAATGTGTGTATATGTGTGACTGCACCTGCTTCCCTGGGAGGAAACATCTGCTGCAGGGTGTCAGAGGCCACCTGTCTGACTCCGTCCTGCAGGAACACAGCAGCCGCTGGCTGACCAGCCTGCAGAACTGATCCACTGTATGCACAAGCTGAAGCTTCAGCGGGAGGATCTGTAGAGATACAGCTGTCTTATTAGACCTCCCCACAGCTCACCATCTGAGACAGTGTCGCTTTGCCCTTTTTAGAATATTGAAGCAAGAGGAAATCTTCTCTGCATGCTGGAGGTAACAGATCGACAGGACTTTTATGCATGCTGGAAGGCTTGAAGTTGAACAGTAAGCTCGATTTCAGCCACGTTAGCAGCGTGGCGACGTGAACAGAGATACTGATCTGTCGTTCCAGACTGAAATATCACAACATCCATTTGATGCCAGTAACTTTCTGAAACACGATTTACATATGACAGAATTACAGTCATTGCAATTGGAAGCCGGATACATATTAATGGTCAGCTCCTTAAAACCCCACCTCTTCCGCTGTCCTCCATGAAGGAATAAGATGAAACATTTTCAGAGATTTTCAAAGAGTTGAATGTTTGATAGTAAAAGCAGGATTTGGTGCACTATTCCTTTAGGCCTCTCAGGCGTCAAAGTTTAACGCTTTACTTGCCTGTTCACTATACCCTGATCAACACTTCACTGATTGGAATTGAATGCTGCCCTTGTACGTATGTATTAACATAATTGCTTAGAAGACTCTGCAGGAAAAATATGCTCCTACATTTTATAACAATATGACGCAATGGTCATATTGTTATAAAATGTAGGAGCATATTACCCCAAAGAAAGGCTCCAGGCGAACAGATCACTATTGTTCTGAGCCGCTTTGTGTCTTCCAGTGAAGTTTCTAAATGTCTGCCTACTCCAGGACAGCTGGGATAATTTGGATTTCCCAGTGTCTTTTGCTTGTCGACATTTTCTATGTTCATAATAACAGACACTTCTTTTTATCTTATTACTTCTTGTTAGAGATGTATCACATCCCCTGTTTAGCTTATAGTAGCTGACGGTGTTCTGCCTGTCTGTCTTTCTGTCTTTGATGTATCTCAATCATTTGTCTTTCAGATTCTGACAGACAGCGAAGGGTTATCGCCAGTGGCTGTTATAATATTTATATTATATTAACATGTAATTAGAGTCTTGTATTCTGCTGATTTTGTGGCTCTTCATGCAGCTTATCATAAGAAAATTGATGAACACTGTGAGACATCATAGTAAATTCTCTCAGCTGGGTGTGGTGTTTCGTTAGCTTCTCATTGTAAACCTTCACAGCTGTAATTAATAATGTTAATAAAGGTTGCATTCCATTTAGGTGTTCCAGATCGAGGCTCTTGTGCATCCTGACTTACTTACATACCTGACTGAGACACCTAAATGGAACTAAGCCAATTATCAATTTTATTCTACCTAGACTGCCTCCACTCTAAGCTATCAAAGTGTGAGAAAAGTCTGTAAGTTTGCTCTTTTAAACTTTAAGGGTTTCTGTACTATGTTGTAAACTGAGCTTTAGATTAAAATATCCCCCACGTGACATTATATTCAGTGGTGAAAGAAGTAGAATAGCTACAGTGGTAATACACTACATTACAAGTAAATGAATTTAGTTTTTTATTCCAGTAAAAATAAAAGGTGCCAGTGACGAACGGTGTGCAGGTGTGCTGTTGGGTCAAAATTATAATAATTAACTAAATGAATGAATTTAAAACACAAAGTAAAGATGATATACAGGCTATAGGCAAGTAGAATAAACATTTAAGCCTCCTAAAAATAGAGACACTCAAACAAAGTTCCAGAACCTCAAACTGTGTTAAAGTACAGCATTTGATTAAAAGTAGAGGCTCTCCACCTCTGATCACAGTCCTCTCTCCACTTCACTGGATGTGGAAGTTGCGGCGCGGTCAGTAGAGGGCGCTGACAGCCACGTTTCCTCTGCCTGCTGGTCGGTGAGGAGGAGCTCAGGTGTCCTCCATGAAACACAACGTGCACCAAACTCTGCATGCTCTTACTGATCAGTTATAGGTCAAGTTATAGCCTTAACCGTGTTTTTTTGTTTTCTTGTGTTAACATGAAACATCTGACTGACTATTCTGCATCAGAACCATATTTTGACTCGGATTTAATTGAAAAAAACCTTTTATTTAAATATAGAGTGAAATATTTTCAGTAAAATGCCATTTTACGGTGAGGGTATTGTAAAAAATTACAAATTTAAGCTCCTGTGGGGGCAAACTTCAATATTATATCCATCATCGATCCTCCCCTCACGCTTTCTCCCGCCTCTCTCTCTGATTGGCTCTGAGTAGACAAACGTTCCACCCATGCGGCCTGTGACTGGCCCACGCAGCTGTCCATCATCGGGGAGCGCCCGGCTATGGCTTTGGGCAACAGAGACGCACCGCTGCTTCCCTTCTCTGCCGTTTAGTGCGTCGAGCGGCGGAGGTAAGTGGAGTTCGCGCGTCTTGTTGTGCGTTCGTGGACCAAACAGCAGCAGCAGAAGCAGCGGTGCGCTTTTTCTCCTCCACAGCCGCCAGCATCCCGGGGAGCAGCCACGCCGTGCGTGCCGCGGGCACCAGCAGCAGGAGGAGGATATTATTATTATTATTCATTATTATTTTGACTGATTGAGACATACATATTTTTCATTTCCCTCATGGTAACCAACACTCAGCAGCCTGAGACATGTGGAATAATCTGGGGAAACTGCACCGCTTCTCACTAGTGTGTCTTCTCCTTACGCTGTGGGCTGAGGTGAGAACTTTAGCTTTCTGCTCTCCTAAGGGAGATGATATTTTTAATTACGGTTTCACTTATCAATCGACTGGGGTTAAATTCCTCCTTTAATCGAATTGCCTTCTCGACTGTTGAATCATGTGATCTCGCGGAATTTCTAAATTTGCGATAAATTAAGTTTGTAGTTTACAGGCACATTGTTAAAACCTCTTCTTCTGTGTCATGAGCTGTGTGTTTGTGCGACAATACAGTGGTCAGCTGCGTCTCAGCCGCATAAAGCTGAAAGTTATGACATCGTTTGGTGAAACTTTTGTATTTATCCATTAGCTTTCATCACTAAAGGATCGGTTCCAGTTTGCAGTGCGTTAATTGGTGCTTTGCGCTGATTCTTCAACGCTTGTTTACGCAGAATAGTTTTGTGAAATAGCTTCACATGTTTAGAGCGCAGCCTCACCTGCGCTGACAGTCTTACCCTGTGAACGGTCGCAGAAGTCAGAGCGCAAACACATATTCAAGGTTTTAGCTCTTTGATCGATTTGTTTGTCTAATTTCTGTCAGATGGTTCCACTTTAGAGAAAAATCGGACTCAAACTCAGACTGCGGGTCTTGTAAAGGTGGACCTTTTGTTCCGCTGCAGCCTGACACGCAGCCTGAGCTAAATTGGAATACTAAGTCGTGTTATCCAGCCCTGAAGTTCAACTGTGCCAAAATGTACAGTAGTGTGGGCTGCAGAGTGACGCGCACTGCAAAAAAGAGAACTTTCTCCTTAAATGTGCTCATGGTGTGAGGTCATTTCTCTTGTTTCCAACGGAAATGTAGAATTTGTAGGGACTTGATTAATCAACTGGCATTTTCTTGAACATGTTAGAGCCGTTTGGCACCTTAAAACACTTGTATAGCCTGCATAGAAATGCCTCTCCCTGACATAACAGGTCGCGTTTAGAAGAACATGAGATGTGAATGACCTTTTAAACATTGAGAAAATGGAAATTATTGCATTGTAACTACCTCCTACAGACCTTTTCAGCCTCTTTTACTGTCCTATGTCCTCCTCAGGTGTCTCAGTCCACCGGTTACTTCGAGCTGCAGTTGATTTCGGTAGAAAACCCCAAAGGTCAGCTCCTGAACGGGGACTGCTGCGACGCAGAGAAGAGCGCGGCGGAGGGCCACTGCGGCGCGGACGAGTGCGACACATACTTCAGAGTGTGTTTAAAGGAATACCAAACGGAGGTCACGACCAATGGACCATGCACCTACGGCTCGGAAACTACAAAGGTTATCGGTGGGAATACTTTTCTGTTCAAGGGCGGCCCGAAGACCGGACCGAACCGGAACAACGACGCGGGGAAGATTGTCATTCCCTTCCAGTTCGCCTGGCCGGTAAGTGGATCATAGTGTCACTTTGTGGAGGTGGAGATTTCTGTGAATAATCACGCACATTTCAAGGGTTACTGCTGGGAAAGGGTGGGTTCTGTACCCTTCAAAATATCAACCTGGGTGCATCATCAGAACTCGGGACCAATTATGGATCTTTCATCATTACATCACATGATGAAACATGGTTTCATGTTAATAATCTTATAATCCCATTCTGTTGTGTCTAAAAATGTAGAATTATCAGACAGAGTGTTTTGGAGGCCGCCTTAAATCGGTCAACCCAGCTCGTATAAAGTGTACTTAGGCACATTTTTGGCACCGTTTTCTGTAACATGTCTCTCTCATTACTGTCTGGAGTCTCTGCGTGCCGCTCATTCTTTCCTCCGCGTGTCCATTTGGCAATTTTTGGCGTCTCTGTTTCACCAGCCCTTATGCGAGTGACCTCACATTCCTCTCTTGGAGCTTTTAAATGAATGTTTGTGTGTTTCTGATCATGGGAAAGGTCCTGAGCGCGCATGACGCATGACTTTTACGCACAGCGGCGGTGTAGTTGTCTCAGTTTGATGAGTTACCAAACAAGCTGCTGTTTGTGTGGCTTCATTTACAGAGTGCAGAGGGGAGGGGGGGTGCCAGTGTTTGAAGGAGAAAATCTTAGGATTTCCAAGCCAGTGTTGATTAAGAAGTGGCAGGTAACTTATTATCTAATCTCAACAAAGCAGCTGAGCCAATCAAAACCTGCTCCACTTCTTATTTGGAGAGCCAGCGTGGGAAACAGGAACAGTACTGGCAGTCAGCTTTATGAAAGCTTCTGTGATTCTAAAGTGGTTGCTGTTGCACTCAGAGATCTGTATCAGAGCGGTTTGATGGCGAGAATGAAGTCCTGTGAAGGAAATGTCACAGGGTTGATTCCCACAACAGTTGAGGGAGCTGTCAAAATAAAAGTCATCAGTCATTTGGAGCCAAACTGGAAAAGAGTAACAGAGGTGATGAAAGTTAACTTGATCTTGTGTCCATTAATATGTGAGTGATCATAGAATATTAGCTTGTGCTGAAGTGAGAGGTCTTGGAAGGAACTAGTCCATCAAGTAGTCTGTTACTCAATAATCAATTATTTACTTAAGTCAGTTACACTGAAAGAATGTACATCGTAGGTGACTTTTAGCTTTTTTTGTTCTAAAAGTCACATGTCATTTTTCTTGGTTGTAGTGTAGCAGTCTGTCTGAATGTGGTGTCGTAATTTTCAGAAAGATCCTGAATTAAGTTATTTTTTTAGTGGAAACAGTTTGAAATAATCTTGTAGCAGTGGCAGATGTTTAAGGAAAAAAATAATTTTAAGACTCTAAATGACTTGGAGATATGAGACTTGAAGTGTATTCCTGTAGCTTCTGTAATTTAAGGGTTCTGTTTTTCTTCTCTGCTTCATGGTGAGGCCATCTGAATATTTGGATTGCTCACATTTTGAAGACTTGAATTGGCTTTAGGAACATGTGATGGACTAAAAATGTAATTGATCATAAAGATCACGTTAGTAAATCAGCATCTGCAAACCCTAATATTTTCAACAGCTAAACATTTAATCGCTTTTAGAAAACCCCAGAGTCTGCATTCAGTACACAAGATGATCGTCAAATTACTGAAAATTATTCAACTTTAATGCTCATTCCAGACATTCTTGCTGTGAAAAAAGCAGAAATCCTGTGTCGTGTCGGACACTTTCATATCGTACATATCGGGTGCTTTGTGTGCACGGCTGGCTACGTGACCTCTCCATTCATCACTTCCCATGGTCAGCTGTCAGCAGAGGGGAAGATGGAAGTAGTAAGTTGGGGCCCTGCGGGCGGATACGGTTACCACTAAGTTGTGTGTAACACAGGCGGTGGATATCGGTGTCACCAACTACTCAAACAAGTGAAGATCCCTGGTCAATCTGGGCCGGGGGATGCCTTTACCTCGCCGCCTCTCAGGTTCACGCTCTATCCGTTATTGGGTCATTGTCTCACTCGGCGTGTGTGGGTTCAGTGTTTTCCACTATCTGCAGAGGAGTGTGTGTGTGTGTGTGAGGGGCACACAAAGGAAGGAGGGTATCAGTGTTCGAGGCAGATAAAGCCCTCTTAAAAATGTCATTACACTTCGTATTCTTTAATCTGTTCTCTAGACATCTCTTAAAGCTCTCTCTGGTTGGTTGCATTGGTTGTTGAACATCTGTGGCGTGAACCTCTCTACTTGGCCAATTTAATGAATTGAACTGTCTCAAGAATAGTGAACATTACCTCATCAGTAGTTTCCAGAATTCAAGTGAATGTTTTTAAATGTCTTGTTTTGCCCGACCAACAGTCTCAAACCCAAAGATACACATTTGAGAAGCCTGAACCAGAGAATGCTTAATGAATGAGTTTAATTAGTAGGGATGCACCGAATGTTCGGACACCGAAATTAATCGGCCGATGTTCGGTGTTCGGCCTAATACGCCAAAACAACGAACAAATTTTACCGAACAATTACATTGACGTTAGTGGAAGCATTTTAAAGTGTCCGAGCCGTTTGCAGATGCTGTTCTGCTGAATTGTCTCCCAGCACATCCACTCCATCTGTGGCTGACTTCTTAGAAAAGAACCGCTGTGAGTGGTTCTGTCACTCGTCTGTGAGAAAGCGATTAAGCTAAATTTGGAGTGCACACGTATTCAAGCCTTTACGGTAAGTGAAGCTGCCCAGAGCGAGCTGACAGGCAGGTTAGAGACTTTATCCTGTCAGTTTGTCTCTTTACAAAGACAAGTGCTGCAGGGTGAGAGTCCTACCTGAAGAGAGGCTGTGAAGTCTTCATGTTTCATGACACATGTAATTTACTTTACTGGACCCTCTCGGGCCCCGGACCCCCCCACCATAGTCTCTCCAAATCCGGTGGAAAAAACACATTTTGACTATTTAATTTATGCAACGGTAAAAAAAGGCAAAATATATGAAAAAACATGTGAAAGTACTTGTTCGCCATCGGGAAAGTTTTTCATTATTGCATCCCTATTTATTAGTCAATTGAATGGACTAATCATATTGTAGTTGTACATATGGCATCTCCTGCATACCTGTCAATCCTTGAAGATGGATGGAGGGATGTTCTGAGGTTTTCCTTCTGCAAATAGAGGTGTATAATGTGCAGATTACAAAGCCCTCTCAGACAAATTCATAAACAAAATATACCTGACGTAAGCGACTGATCGTTATTGTGCAACTTGTAATAATAAAGAAGCTAGTAAGCAGAGTTGCTAAGAAAGCAATGTAACGTGACGGTCTTATATTTTGATCTTTTGAAAAGTGCTTCAACTTTTAGGCCTTTTTTCCACTTGAAGGATGGTTTGAAGTGAAAGAAATGATTCCATCCATGACTGGAATAAACCTAGAGGTCAATATTTTACAAAGCCATCGCACTCTGTGCTTCAGTGAGCTTAGGTTAATTATGTTTCCTCCTCTCTCTGCACCGAGATCAAAAGTGTAGTTTGACAAAAACATCTCAATTTAAGGTCATGAAGGATGAGAATGGACAGTTTTCAAGATCAAGAATGAACGTTCAGCATCATCTCAGAGTCAAAGACCTCAAAAAATGCTCTTTTTAACTTACTTTTGTTGTAATTAATAATGAATTATTCAGATTTTGAGATCATCAGCTTCACATTTTCTCGCACTTTACTAGGCCAGACCTGGTCCTTCATTTGCTGCAGACTGTAGTTTGTACTCTGGCGTGCTGCCGGTCCACAGACAGCGCTGACAGTCACGAACAGACTGTGTTTGTGTGAGGTCGTGGCCTGTAGCCTCTGGTGCTGCTATAGCGGACTTCTTCTGTCGGCCCCAGTATCTGGGCCACTGGTCCTGACATGAATTAGCTGCTGGAAAAAAATAAAGAGGAGGACATTGTTCCGCCCTCTCCTCTGCTGATCATTTCCCCTTCATGTTAACCCCTCTGGCTGTTTGGGTCTTTAGTGACATCTTTTTTCATGAAAGGGAATGGGGGGGTAGGAGGAGGGATGGTGGGGAAGAGAGAGGAAAAGGGAGGAAGCAGCCCCCCTTGCAAAACAAAAAAAACTCCACCCGGCTTCCTTGTGAGGTTTCTGTCACGAGGGAGGTGTATTTTTAGGATGCAGAAACTTAAGATGTCCCTTTTTTTTTTTTTTTTTTTTTTTTTTACAGTAGTGAGTGGAACAAAAACAAGCGTTTACTTCTTCTGCTCTTCCTCCTGCTCACCCAAACCTTCCCCCGTCTCTCCATCTCCCTCTCCCTCTCTCCTTATGGGGTATTTTTAGAGCCACTGTCCTCCCCTCACCCCTCTGTGAGTAAATCAAGGATCAAGGGGGCGTACTCCTTCAGTTGCATGGCCTGTTTTTGTTGTCCCCTTTTGCCCCGACTCTTGCCAGAATTCCCCTCTCAGCCTGGCACATCTGAGAGCACAGAGGTGGAGCAGCTGTTGTTTAGAGACCTCCTCCTTCTCCTAGAATAAATGTTTTAGTGAAATAGCATTAGGAAAACAGGCTATGATTACAGGGCGCCGAGCGTAAGATCACCTCACTCGGAGAAGTATCAGTGAGCAATCACAAAGTGCAGTGTTGGACCACGGCGAGTCGTCGTCTTCTTCGGTTGTTTCCTCGATGCCGTCACTGCCGGCGGCTGGCTTGGTTGGCTCGGTTGGCTCATTTGCCGAGTGCGTCCTTGGCACACTCGCCTGCTCTTCCATGAGGCGCTCTTCTCAGTGTGGTGATGCTTTTATGGTTGATTAGATTAGTGAAAGGAGGAGAAGGGTGCGATGCTCACGTGAATGGAGGTGTAGGTCAGGGAAGCTGAGCGAGAGAGATGTGGAAGGTTTGAGGACCAGGGATGATCCTGCAGAATGTAGAAAGACTAAAATGTCACGTTGTTTTGGTTTACATGTATAAAACAGTTGTGCTGCAAAAATAAAAGATATGCATTACTTGCAAGGCTCTCATTGTTACGGACTCTCTGCACCAGTCCGAGATCCA